ATTTAAAGATTCCAGTGATTTTTTTTAAGAGTATTTTTCCCTAAAAGATATTTTACAAGGCAAAAAGCCAAAAACCCAAACACTTTGATGTTCTGAAGCAATTCTATGAACTGTCCTGTTCTGAAAAGGCAACTCCTCACAAGGAGAAACAATTTAAGGATGTTAAGTGCCATGTTATTGCTCAAAGAGAAGTCTCTCTTTCATATACATAAGCTTGTCCAGAGATAACAAAAAAAAAAAAAAAGATACAAGCTGCTATGTAACAGTCCCAGCTGTAATACATAAGCAAACTGAAAAAGCAAAGGCAGCCTGGTCTAATAGAAAGGCAGACAACTTTACCTATGAAGTTTACAATTAAAACAGTTAAATTAGCCGTACAAGCCAGCTCAGAAATATTAGAGGGAGACACACCTTTAACACTGTTGTTTAAACCCACTACAGTTAAAGTCTATGTAAAAATTAAAGTCACATTCCTCCTTCCTCCTATTCTCTCATGGCCTCCAGAGCAAATATTCAGCTTAAGCAAAGTCCTAGTAAGGAGATACTCAGCAACATGAAATCTATAGCAGCTCATCTTCAACCACATCTTTTGATGCTTATAAGCTCAGAAGTGAGAAAACTTCAGGCACCTGTCATAAGCCACAGCTAATAAGCAGAATTCCAAACGTGGTGAACCAAGAAGAGAAGCTACCATCCCATGCCTCACAAACTGCATATGGGACTCTCCAGAGGAACAAGTACTTTGCAGCTCTGTCACAGATACTGCTACAATGCATTATTTTACTCATTCTGCACAATAACCAGATCTAGTGCAAAAAGATCTTCTGTGGCTTGAGGGAAACATGTTGACTCAACACTGGTTATACATATAATTAGTCTAATGCAGTATATTATTTATACAGTGCTAAGTACCGCTACAGAAGAGGAAGAACTGTAAAATATAATAGCAATAATTAGCTCTTACACTGAGTATTCCTGTTTTCAGATGAGAAAATTGAGTTATAAAAGAGGGAAGTTATTTGACCATCACCATCTTCAGACCAGCACCAGTTGTTAGTGTAAATAACCCCCCAACAGAAAATAGAACGCAATCAGATCTTCAGTGTTAAATAAAAGTTTGCCATTATCCAACCAACAATTTTAACAAACTGAAGAGGCACACACACAAAACTCAATAGACAGCGTCAATTTAACAAAAACAAAATCATTTTGCTTCAAACTACTCAAATCTCTCAATCTCCATACATCCACAATTATCCAGCCAAGTCTGACTCTTAGAACAATTATTCCCACTTCATAAAAGCAGAAGAATCCACCTTTTGCCAGCCTGACTTGCTAAAGCAAAGGGAAAACATCTTCCATGAGCTCAAGAGACATAAGCAAGAAGTGAATTCCAATCTCGAATAATTATAGATATCTCTCTTAATAGCTTATGGATACCAGACAACCAAAATGTAAACTGCACAACCGTGGGAGGAATGAATTCACTATTGGAAAACATAGTATTTTGCAAGTCACACAAACCAGAAAAATTAAAACATATTTATTCAGCTTAACCCTAGCCTTACTTTGTGTGGCACTAGAAGAATGAGTAATTGTTCCATTCCTTGTTCTAGCAAGCACCCACAAATCAGATATATTTTCCTGAGCTGACCCCTATAAATTCCAGAAATGTATTTTGCAAATGTTGTAGTGCTGGGGCTATAAAAAGAACCAGAGCTGGCTGGAGTTTTGCTGCACATCACAAACCAAGTCACAAATTAAACATTATAGCTAAAGCTTAAATTTATCCCATCCAAGATGGATGGGTCCCTGCAAGTTGTTTCAATGTCTTCAGAATGTTGTATATCACATAACTTTATGAGCAGTGCCATCCCTTTCCCTCCTGCTCATCATTAAACTAGTAGTGGGAGGAAAAAAAGAAAAAAAAAAAATCACTCTTCACTATTTTGTTCCATGATTTTGGCGATGGATAAATCTTATTTAATATATCTAAAATGACAGTTCTTTCTTTAGATATGAAACTATAGTCCAAAGGCAGGTCAGAGCACCATAAGCTATCATTTACAATCTGTGTTTTTCTCAGGTTAGGAATTAAGTCTCAGAATGAAATTAATTCACCTTACACATTCAGTCTTTAGCATTGGAATAAAGATAATAAACAATGATGTCAGTAAACAAAAGCAAGCACCATCCTTCCAAGTGCTGTTGATATACCCTTTTTCAATAAGCTCAATAAATGCAGCTGCGTATTTTAAAGTTTCGGCTTTCCTCTCAATTTCTCTGAAGGCACAATTTAGCCCCATAATCTCTTTCTCATTCTCAAGTACTGCCTTCCTAGCACTTTCAAAGAGCTGTGGACAATCCCCATTGTGAAACTCATCCCATGGAAGCCCAAAATATGAGAATGGAAGAGCCAGTAACATACAGCCCAGCTCTTGACCTACCGCAACAGTAATCTATTCAGATTATGATCAGTTCTGTACATGAACTAATACAAATCCTTCAGAGAGTAGTTATGCTTTAGGCTGGTGCACTAACTGCTGATAAAAACTCCAGACTAAAATCCAGTCAGCTTTATCAAGTTTGCAGAGTGTACCTGCAGTTGTGAGATGTTTGTTATTATCCAACCATTAGTTAGTAACTCAGCAGGAGTAACACAGTGCCTCATGTAATAAGAAAGGCAGAGTATTGATGCTATTTATGCTTTGCCTTTGTGGTTCTGAGACGGACGTTTGAAATTCTATTTATTGCCATTACTTGCTAATAACAGAAAAGTATCTCTGGACCAGATTTCAACTGGCTTCAACAATGGAAAGAAAAAAAGAAAGAAAAAATCTCAGAAACCTAGAATCAATTCCTTAAGAAGCAATAGCTATACAAATAAAATATAAACACAGGCAACTTCCAACCTTTTAGACTGCCAGGAAATAGAGAGTCTAATTTAGTACTGATATACATCTAATGGGAATTTACTCGTGTAAATGTCAAATAGATTTGCTTAAGGGAAGCTATTGTAAGGCATGAGAAATATTTTCTTTACTTGCAACATCCCATGAGATGTTTTGTTTTTTAAAAGAAATAATCCTTTTTAAGGTCTTTCTATTGTTTCTACCAAACGAACTTAACATTACAATTCTGTAATACTTCACTATGATACAGTACCTTTATTACAACCAAATTTCCTTTAATTTACTTAGCCTTTAGGCTACAAATCTTATAGTGCTAAAAGGTGGTTATTTATTTCTTATGTTTGTACTGTTTCCAACCTGATATTCATTTTCCTCCACAGAGTATTTTGACTAGCTTCATAGTCATTCCAACTTAGATGAAGGAAAAAAAAAAAGTTTCCATCATTTTGCACTTGGCCACTATAAAACTTAAATTTGTTTTCCAGCTGACTGGTGCACTCATAGATCACTTCTCTTTGATTGTCTTACAAGCTGCACAGGAAGTAAAATAAAAGTGGAATAAACGCTGCCTAGGTATCTAGTGCCACATTTGAAACCACAAACTCATATCTCTAGAAGAACATACCTCGTTTAGGACAGTCTCAACTCATATCTACTTGCCATCTCATTTACGAGATCTCAGAATTTACTGTTCTCATCCCGTTTACAAAGCATAGCATTTCAAAATCACTTGTGGGGAGGAAGGGAGTATCCGCAAGGGAGTGCAAGCATTTGATTTTAAAGGTTAGATATCTTCCAAATTCTATTCCAGCCTTCAATATTTTGACAGAGTTCACTGATCTTTAATGGTATAAATTAACATTAAATTTAAAAGCACTTATCTGTTTTCTAGTTGTCATTGTTAATATTTGAAAGATTGCAGTGTATCTTCATGTTTGTTACTTTAAATTTTAAGTCATCTGCTTTCAATATCTGGGTCTATTGATTCATCAACGCTTGGAAAGGCACCAACAAGATAACTTTCATGCTGCAATACAGAATAACCCCATCACGTTTCTCACTCCCTTGAAATCACCTGGCTTTTGGTATCTGCGTATCGATATCTGTGCCTGAATGAGTAATGTGCCAGTGGAGATTTGAAACAGCACAAGCAACGGAATTGAACTCAGCTTAAATCTGGCACTTACATTTGGTCAGATAAATCCCTGTAGACTGCACAGACTACTCATTCAGCCCCCTAACACTGCGACGGGAGCCTCAACAGCTAAGTCAGCCACACAGCACTACACTGGAGATGCTGAAAATAAAACAGGATGAGTTCCATTTTCAGCATCCAAAATAAACAAACAAACCCACACCAAAACTACAGGTATCTATTTTTAAATGATTTTGCAGATGTCATTATAAAAATTTATGTCACTAAGTAGCTGTACCACAGTTTTCAGTATTTTCCATACTTCACTTTCACAAAGGAACACCCAAGGAACCCTTGGTCAAGCACATGTAGTCTGCCTTTGCTGGGAAGGCATTTTAAACACCTGAACATATTCAGCAATCAGCAAACCTGGGTGAGCAACCACACATAGAAGGAAGGAAGAGGATTTCAAACATATTTCTCTCAGAGTTTCTTTATTGCAAATATCTTTAAAGAAAAAAAAAAACCGTGATTTCCTCCTTGGAGCATTTTCAAAAAAGAACTATCATCCTACAGAAACGGTACTGGAAAAAATCTCAGTTTTCCATATCCAAAAATCATACCGGTAGGTCTCTTTTTCAGTAGCTCAAACCACACGCTTAGATTTCAGTACACCGTAAGGACCGAGCGCCCCGCTGGCCGCGCTCACACGAAGCAGCGCCACACTTTCAGCCCAGCCCCGCCAGCAGCCGCACCGCGCGGCGCAGGAGAGCCGCCTCCTCCCTTCACGTGCCTTACCTCAGCCTAATTTAGTTCGGCAAAGCAAAACAGGTTTTTGTCTCAAAAAGCAAAAAGTTCTCTATTCCGACCATAAAAGTTACAGGGAAGAAAAAAAAAGAAAAGAAAAGAAAAAAAACCCACTTTTTCTGTAATTTTAGTGAAAGTAGTCTTACCCTGCAGCACCTTCTCTCTCCTAGGCGCCAGGAACACAAAACACCACCGGCTCCGAGTGGGACCCGCTGGTTCTAGAAGGTTCCGGGCGGTTCTGGCGCCCGCCCCCGAGCACAGCTGAAGCCTCTCAGCCACAGGTGTGAGCAACGCAGCTCGGGAGATGCTGCAGGTGCACGAGCAGGGACAGCCTCAGCCCTGCTGCCCCTGGCCGAAGCAGCTGGGTGGTAGAAAGCAGGCATCGATCAGATAAAAAACGATGCACAGAGGCTGATAGTTCGCGTACCTCTTAAATTCTGCTCTAAGAACTAGTTTTACTAAGTCTGTTTGCTTTAAAGCTTCCCTGCCTCCCCTGATTGGCACAGGGCTCTGTGTGCCAGTCCAGCCCTGAGCTGGAAATGGCAGTGGAATGCAGATATTGCACAGAAATGGGAATCTAACAATATTTATTTTGCAAATCCTCACAGATTTTCATTGTAGTAACTGCAAAAACACTGGGGGCGAGGGGTGGTATAATTCAATTCAAATAACTAATTTAATATTCACTTTTGCTGGTATAAACTGTTTATGCAAGGTGTTTATTTGTTGTCATGGCCAAATCCTTAGCAATATATCTTTAAGTATTGTCTACAGCCACAACCACAATTAGTGTAGCTTAATGAGGGTAGAACAGCTGGCCCAGTTAGCCATAACCTGAGCCAAAGGGATGAAAGACAGAAAAGTTGTGTTTGCGTACACACATGGTATCTTTATTCCAGTTGTTATTTTTTTCCCCACCAGACTACAAGAGCTTGAACGTTAATTAAAATAAAAAATGTGGGGTGAAAATGTGTGATGAATTGGCAAGCTAGTTAGTTACCCTACTCCTCAGAATCTCTGTGGCATTACATTCTCATTTTCAGAGATGATGTTCCTGTTTTAAAAGTGCTTATTGCCTGTGCAATGTTTGGTTTCTCAGCTGTTTCGGAATGAAGTCCCAGTGTAGCAAAAGATCCTGACTCCCCAAGCAATGGAGCAAACTTCCCAGGGTGCACACCCCAAACTGCATCTCTCAAAAGAGCTGTGGAAAAACAGAGGGGGTAAAAGCCTTTTCCTTGGAGCTGAACTGAGGGTGCTTGCCTGCTGTCAGAAAATTGCACTGGCCAATCATCAGCAGATACACTGTTGACTGTATCCAACAAAATACGACAGTGTATTTTCCCTAAAGACTTGAGTTAATTCATTCAAAGCCAGCAAAAAATAATGCATTTTTCTACACAATTAAGTTAATTTTGCTTATTATTCAGAGCAAGCGCCAGGTGTACTCTACAAGGCACTCATGTACAAGCCCTCAACTGAACAATCCAAAGGAGGGTGTACATATTTATGCAGAGGGACTATAAAAATGGGGAGAAGTATAACATGATAGTATGCACTGCCTTTGTTTTGTAATATATTTTACACTGATAGATTTCAAATAAATGAGCTACTGCTTCACCAGTCACAGGAATAAAACAAAATGTCACATTACAGAGAAATGCTATCTCAAAACAAAAGCTGAATGCATAGTTTGGCTACAAATGTAACTGGCAGGCAATCCCAGCAGTATTGCCTATTCTGTCATTCCCCACAGGGAATCAATGCCTGATTACATTTAGCATGGCCTTTCTCTTTCTACCTTTATTTCATCTGCTATGAAATCATGATTCTTTGTTTTCATTCCATTCTCAAGCTTTCTTTGTCTATGAATTCCTCTGATTACTAATTCCCTGTTTGGTTTGCATATCTTTTAAAACCAGAGCCCATGCTGTAGGTCTTTTATGTAAGGATTTCCCCTACGCAAGAGAACCCACATCCTCCCATCACAGAGATTGTAGAAAAAATCTCACTGCACCTAGTCTGGGGCCATCCCACTGCCTTTCAGATAGTTGTACATGAATAAAGACAAATTGTCTGTGGAGATGCCAACTGATCTCTCCAGGTTTGTAGATCTTGTTGTGTGACTTCAAGGAGAAACAAGCAGAAGTTTCTAGTCACTCGAGGCCTCTTTAAGGCATCTGATGAACTCTGTCCAATTGAAGTCATTCCAAAAGCATTGTTGTCATTTTTGTGTACCACAAAGGATCTCAGATATATTTCTACAGTGCTGTTAGAGTTGAGAAGTAGGACATCTGGCTTTAGAAGTGCTGTTCAACACTGTAATACTCTAAGTCTTTGGGATCTCAGCATACTAAACACTGAACACACATGCTCACTTAAAGCAAAAGCCTGTGCCTTGCATCAAAGAACTTCTTCAGCAGTGGAAGGAACATGCCAACCTCACAAAAGTACTTTTATGTTGCTGGATGGAGGTGTGTGATGCTTATTGTTCACTTCACTTCCTTTAGAAAGGTAATATAAAAAGATGCATAATATGAGAAAGAAGCACACTCCTGCAGGTTAAGTGTGCTCTCACATAAGTATTCTTACATTAGAGATTTACTGTAGCTAGCTGGTGTGCTAAGAACATACTGACATTGCTACCGTTAATGTACAAGGATTTCTTGTTTACTGAAAGCAAACCAATCCATCATAACAAATTCAATGCTGAATACCTTGAAAGGTAAATGGCTTTTGTGAGGTTCATGGAATGTCCTTGAGACTCGTTTATAAATCCTATGTTAATGCCAACTAGTATACTGAGCATTATGCTAATGTTTCTTACAAAAAAAAAAAAAAAAAAAAAAAAAAATTTTTGTTCTTATTCTACGATATATTCAACACCTTGCTAAATAAGACATGATCACAGAGGAGACAACATAATTTGATGTGAAATTCAAAATGTAGTGAGAGGAAAACCAGCTCATATTTAGGATGCATCATCTTGGCCCTTCTTAGAAGGACAAATAAAGCTAAAGAGGCTTTAAAGAATGAGAACACCTGAGTGTGATTTCCCATGTATTTCTATTGTATGCCCAACACCCTGTCCCATCAGTCAGTTCCTCCTCCCACTTTTCATTCACTGAACTCATGCAGTATGTGAGAAGCCTGCTGTTAAATATGTTCTGGTTAACCCATGCAACTATGCTGACCAGTTCACAGGCTAATGAACACCCTTTATATCAAATGAATCATAATTACTTCATATTCACTGGAAACTTTAATATGGACCTCTCTTCTCCAACCAACAACTGAATTTTTTTCAGATCTTCATCATAGTGACTTCAACACTCAGAGGCTGAAATCAGTTCAAAATTTATCGACGGGGGACATTACATACCACAGTGGGTAGTGTAATCGCTTAAAACTTTATTTACCAATAATACCAAGCTGAATAGTCATATTTTATAAAAGCCCAAAGCTTTTTCCCAAGCTAGGAAAACACTTAAAATTATTTCCCAATTTTAAGTATGAAAAAATCCTATCAAATAAGCAGTAGCATAGCAGAGGTTTATGGAGTTCAGTAAAACTTTGCAGACCAAAAGGTATGACTGCCCTCACTGGTTGCAACTTTTCTCACTCATAAGTGAAACCAGCATTGAAAACCAATGGGACTGGCTTAATTTAAGCAGAAATTAATGAGTCCATGTCAGATCCTACTCTGATAACAGGCATTTTTCTTTGTTTTTAGAAGTAATTTCATATTCCTTACAATCAAAACAACATGTACAGTATTGTTTTAGCATTCATTTGAATCTACATATGTGTATTTTTCACTTCAAGCTAGAACGAAATTCTGGGATTGGGAGAAATTGTTTTTGAGAGGGATTTGTTACCCGTAAAATAAGGTTTTACATTGCTCAATACTAGCAGCCAGTGTTTTGTTAATGATATCGCCTGCTGCATATGACAGCATCCGAACAGGAACAGTTAGGAGAAGAGTTCAGGACAGAAAAAAAATACCCACTGTTACTTTCTAAGTTACCTGCTCTTATCTCTTGGCAGTGTATCGCATAGGTGACTTCTTGAGCCAGAGGGTGGTATCTGCCTCTTGGTACAAATCTAGATCTGCAGCGAATAAAATGGTCCTTCTGCTAGCTATTAATAATTCATTGCTATCTATTCACTGAATCTCAAGCAGAAACAATACTCTAAGACCTAGACAGCCAAATGCATACCCTGAACAGTTTATGTTCATGGGCTAACATTTGTTCACAAAATGTTTCAACATTTGTGAATAATATGTAAGTGAAGAGGAATGCCTAATCATGAACAATTCACAGCCAAAACAAATGCTACTATGCCAACATGTTTATTTTGTGATAGTGTTTAGCCAACTGTTTGGCCACACTCAGTAAGCTGTGCACTGTTGGTAGTCTCTCTTCACCCCTCCAGGACCCATCAGGGTACAATCGCAATGATCAAAGGATGGGGACTACAAGTTTGCCTAAAGTCTCTTCCATTGTTCCAGTTCCTTCCTTTGTGTCACTATTCCCCCTGAAGGAGGCAAACATTAAGTGGCAAAACTAATAAAATAGGAGGCATTATTTTTGGAGCTCTCATTGTATATCTCTTGATATTACTATGTCTCAAGACTACTATCTGAAAGAAAAGCAGGCTGCTGGAAGAATTTCTCAAAGTAATGTCAATGCACAGTGTTTGTATGCCACTTAGCAATGGCACTCCACCTGCTGTACATAATCAACAGGAGGAGACCGCTGTTTCCCAGAGGCAATTCAGAAACATGATGGCCAAAAAGAACAGCTACTCAGAGATAGCCAGTAGAAAGTAACAAAAGCAGAATTCCATCTTATTTCCCTTCTCACTTCAGAGTTTAGATATATGTTTCAAGATATTGCAACTCAGACTGACAGTTTCAGCACATACTTCACATTTTCAGAACTGTTCCATCAGACTTGAGTTGAAAAGCCAAAAAATTCAGTGACATGGAGCTATAACTCAGATCTCTCCTTCCTGAGTGCACACAGATTCATCCTCCTGCAGGCAGTCACTCACTCACCACTGCTTACAGATTCATTCTGCATGCATAAGGGAACTCTATGCATTGGAGATTGGACTCAGCAGGGCTCTATACTTTCTGTATTTATCTAGATCTCTGGTTTAACCACAGATTTCCATAAAGTCAACAGTTATCCGTCTTTTAAACATAGAGTACAACTCTTCCAAAAAGAGATGCTCTGTAAGCATTCATGTGGCTATTTTGTCAGGGTCCAGTCTGATAGGGAACAAATTTATTTTGGCTCAGTTATAGTTTTTGTGCTTTTTATGCTTCTACAGCATATTTCTGAAGTTTAATATCTCAACTTAAACTAACATAATCCTCTAATTCACATTTCAATTTTTGATTCTGGCATGACAATTCTGTAGAGTTGAAATACTTATCTTTTTATTTGGCTATCAAATGTAGTGCTAAACACTGAAGCTAATATTTTTACACTTTAAACACTGCAACTACAAGTTCACTTCTATAAAATACAAATTTCAATTGCTAGAGATGGCTCGTGCACCTATCATTTCATTTGCCCCCACTAAGGTGAGAATCAGGC